GGCGCTTTCCGCCCAAAGAGCCCGGATGGCTCCCGGCCTGGGGGTCTGCACCCCCCTTCTAGGCCCACCCCCATTTAATAAGGGGTCTGCCTGCCCGGGGAGCACAGTGTCCATGGGGGGGCTCAGGGGGAAGGACGCGGTGTCCCCTGAAGAGGCGACCTGCCCGCAGGGAGGGGCTTTGTGGGCGCGGTGACTGCGGGGGGCGGGGGCCCAGGCTGGGGGGTCAGGAGAGTGAGTGAGAGACAGACACGTGGGCGGGAGGAAGGGCAGCGAGGGGTCCACAGAGAGGGACTCATAGGGGGTGTGGGGGGGACTGGACGGCGACGGTAGGAGTGAGGGGGTCACTCGGGAAAGTGGCCTGAGGAGGAAGGAAGTGGAGACACAGGGAGGAGGGGGACCCAGAGAGAGGAAGGGGGGTGAGAGGGAGCGGGTCCTGGGGAGCAGAAGTGGGGGCCGCACAGGAGCAGGCACTTGAGACAGAGACACGTTCAGAGGAGAAGAGTTGGGGAGCGAGTGCAGGGACAGAAAGGGGGGCTCAGGGATGAGGGAGCAGAGGGAGCAGCACTGAGTCAGCAGCTGTGGGAGCGGACAGACGGGAACAGGCAGCAGAGGGGCCGCGGGCGTGGGGAGGGGAAGACGCAGACGTGGGTGGAGGTGGAGCCTCAGAGACCAGGAGAAAGAGCCCCTGAAGGGAAGTAGGTTTCAGGAGTTTCATGGTCCAGGTGTAGGACAGACAGAGAGAAAAGGGGAGAGAGAGCAGGGGAGAGGGGGACACAGGAAAGGACCACAGTGGAGGGAAAGGGAGCAGGAGACAGACAGATCCACAGACAGAAATACATAGTAGTGGGAGGAGGGGAACCCTGATCTGGGTGAGGGGTGAGCTGATGGGATGTGGATGATTCACTTGTGATATATAGGCTGTGGTGATTATATATATAATTTCTGAGAGGCAAGGAGAGGAAGAGAGAGAGAGAGAAACATCATTGACTGGAGACAATCATTGATCAGCTGCCTCCTGCTCGCCCCACAGTAGGGATCAAACCTGCAACCTGGCCACATGCCTGACTAGGAATCTCACCATGACCTCCTGGTTCATAGGTCCAAGCTCAACTAGTGAGCATGCCACCTAAGGATGCCTTTATATATTTAATTTAACAGCTGAATTGTCTTAGTTATACAGATTGAATGAGAATTATAAATCTACAGTTCATAAGGTTTGGTATTTTATAATAATTTGCTGTCAATTGCAACCCTTATTCACTCAGAGGGGAGAGACTTGTCTGTTGGTCATGGGTCCCTTGTCATTTCCTGGGATGGCAACAAGGAGGTGACCTGTGTCTGTCACCACCTGATGCTTTTTAAGGAATATTAGAAGCCTTAGGTTTGTTGCTGTGGTGTTTTATATATGTGTGTGTGTGTTCCATGGATTTACTTTTTCTATGTCTGACACTTAAATTTATTTTTTAAATACATCCTTAGATAAATCCCCTGGGTCTTCTCAGATCCCCTGAGGAGCTTAAAGAAATGCCCTCAGGGGCACTTTCCCCCATGGAGTTGGACAGATGCTCTGGGTGGGGCATCATTGGTTACTGAGGGTCTCCAGGTGATGGAAGGTGAGGACAGGGATAGCAGGAGGGTTGCAGGATGCCTTTGTGAAAGTGGGAAGCAGACTTTGTTCAGGGGAGGTAAGGGGGTGCTCTTTGGTTTGGGGGGTCAGGACAGTAGCTGACATTCTCATTTCTGTAGGAGTTTGTGGATGTCTTCGGAAGGAGAGACACATGAAGACACACCCTCAAAAACTCACAGTGTGGTCTCCAAGTAGGAGCTCAGTGATCCTCACTCTCTCCTGTGACCAAGGACAGGAGGGGGTGGCCTTTCCCTCATTTCCAGGTCCTTCTGACTGTGAATGTCGTGTGAGCTGATTGAGACGCTGAGCTGACGTCTTTGAAGGCACATTCTGTGATTCCTCAACATACCCTCGCCTGAGACGACAACCCAGACCCTGATCAGGACCAGGACCAAATGGCTGCTTGTCAGGTAAAAGATGTGTCCTGAGTCATAGGCTACGTTTGCTTTTCCTCTAACACCTGTGGATTTAGAACCTGCCACTTCTGATGTTGGTGCCATTCATGGTCTTTTCCTTTACTTATTTAATTACAGTTTTTCTTATGATGGTGATGGTCAGCAGTGTATATAGTTTTGTCCTTTGGCCCAGAGCCTTCTCTGCATTCATGTTATGCAGGCTCCACCAGGTCAAGATTTCCCACCTTTAATTGATGACTTTCAACTACTGAAAACATCCCTCTCTGATCAGTCCCCTTGGGAAGCAGCCATGCCTAACATCCCAGTGGGAAAAGGCCAGAGGCTTGGGTATCAGTGAAGAAGGGAAATGTTGGTTTTAGGTTCAGTGGCTGCAGCATCAGCTCTAGAATAGGGGTAAGAAAATGCACCTTTTACTGCTCACAATAGCTCAGAAAGTTCTGAAGAGTAAAGAGAAGAGACTTGTTCACTAGATTAGTAAGAAAGACTTGCTATTTAAATATATCTTTAGCTTACAGAACATGAGAGGTACACATGGATTGACACTTGCAAAAATTAATGTTTGGCCCTAACCGGTTTGGCTTAGTGGATGGAGCGTCGGCCTGTGGACTGAAGGGTCCCTGGTTTGATTCTGGTCAGGGGCATGTACCTTGGTTGTGGGCACATCCCCAGTTAGGGGGTGTGCAGGAAGCAGCTGATCGATGTTTCTCTTTCATCGATGTTTCTGACTCTATCCCTCTCCCTTCCTCTCTGTAAAAAACCAATAAAATATATTTTAAAAAATAAATGTTTATTTATGACCATTTTCACATAAGGACTTGCTGATTTATGTACTTTTGCTATGACATGTCCTTTTCTGATATCCATTGTTCCAGTTCCCCTGATATTCCCTTGGCTGAGATGCTCACTTAATCGGATAATTTATTGAGAGATATGCACAGACCTTCCAGAAGACCCCCCCCCCCCCCTTTCATCTTAGCTTCTATTTGCTTAGAAAAATAAAAGCCCTACTTTTATTTCCTACAAATCACTGACTTTTGACATGGGAGCTTCAGCCAATCAGGCCTTCTTGCTGCAAATTTTTATTATATTCTACACTCATTCATGGATATAGTCAACATAATCACTTTTTATATTGTCTAGAAAGTTTATAAGAATCATATTATTAATGTATCTTCAATTCAATTAAATTTCTATGATTGTAGCTCTCCACTAATGACACATAAAAATTTACAAATAAATGAGCAACTAAGATATTTTATAGGTCTAACATATTTTCTATGATTATGTGAGTTCATCTTATATAATACACAAAGGGTATCATTCACATGGAGGTTCATGAAATGTGTGGAATCACAAAATAACCTTGATTTCATTGACATGACAATTCTTTTTTTTATCCATTTTAAATTGTAGGTAAGTTATTACATCTGTGTCTGTCTCTACATAAAATATTAACATTGTTTGAGCTATATTTTCTTACTTGTTTAACCTGTTTTTATTCTTCTCAGTTACAGAAACTGCTGTGAATATTCATGAGTTTACAGGTATTGACCTGTGTTTGTTTGTCTGTTTGTGTTTTTTTTTAAATATATTTCACTGATTCTCTACAGAGAGGAAGGGAGAGAGACAGAGAGCCAGAAACATCGATGAGAGAGAAACATCGATCAGCTGCCTCCTGCACATCTCCCACTGGGGATGTGCCCGCAACCCAGGCACATGCCCCTGACCGGAATCGAACCCGGGACCCCTGAGTCCGCAGGCCGACGCTCCATCCACTGAGCCAAACCGGTCTCGGCTGTTTGTCTGTTTTTTAATTGTAGCTTGAGTTTGGAATAAAATTGAAGGTTTACCTTTTATTATATGTTTCACAAAATGTTTTTCTTTCTTTTTTTTAATATATTTTTTATTGATTAAGATATTACATATGTCTCCTTATCCCCACGTTGCCCCCTACGCCCCCCAAAATATTTTTCTATCAAAGGCAGAGTAATCTTGTTCTAAGAATTCTCATAGTAAATTTTCTTATTTTTTCTTATTTATTATTATTTTTTTAAAATATATTTTTTATTGATTTTTTTACAGAGAGGAAGGGAGAGGTATAGAGAGTTAGAAACATCAATAAGAGAGAAACATCGATCAGCTGCCTCTTGCACATGCCCCACTGGGGATGTGCCCACAACCAAGTTTACATGCCCTTGACCAGAATCGAACCTGGGACCCCTCAGTCCGCAGGCTGACGCTCCATCCACTGAGCCAAACTAGTTAGGGCTCATAGTAAATTTTCAAATAGGATTTTGGTTTCTATGTGTCCTATTCCATGAGAACTATAAATTCCATTGAAAAATACTTTCACTTAAAAGTTATGTATGAATTTTTTCCTGTGTTTTCTGTGTATTCAGAAGTATGACAAATGGACCAGAAACATTGGCATCACGAGTGAAAAGTGAGCTTGTTACACATGTGGAAACACAGGCCCCATCCGAGAACCTGGCTCAGAATCTGTATTTTTAGAAAAGTGCAGTCGTGGTTGACTGTGTTACACTTCAGGCCGTAATTATGCTTCCAACTGAGCATGGCATCTCCAGCTGAGAAATACACACCACGGACCCTGAACAATGCAAAACACAGCCCTCAGAAACCCATATGCCCATGTCGATGCCCTAATTTTAAAGTTTATTTTCCTGAAAAGTAAAGTCTGTACCATGAATTTTGGGATATGTGTCATCCTCACTTGTTAATGTTAGAAAACATTGGAGAATGTTACTGGGCAAAGTGATCTTATTGGGTGATTCAGGATATTCCCCTTGGTCAAAACCTCTTCTCCTAACACAGTTTTCTTTTTTGTTTGTTTCTTTTTTTTCCTTCATTTTTTTCTTTATCTCCTAACACTGTTTTCACATTGGCTGACATTATGAACTCTTCTGGTGACCTCTTGATAAACTTATCTTTCCTTTCAGGGACCGTTGACCTTCAGGGATGTGGCCATAGATTTCTCTCAGGAGGAGTGGGAATGCCTGGACCCAGCTCAGCGGAAATTGTACCTGGATGTGATGTTGGAGAACTACAGCAACCTGGCCTCCCTGGGTGAGGATGACTTCCTTCCCGAGTTCCTCCTCCACTTGCAGGGTTTTGTTTCCTTTATTATTTTAACATCTTTAGGAGGCTTCTGCTTTTTAGGGTAGACTTTCTGATTCTTGCTCTTAGGGAAAAAATGGGGGTATTCTGGTTTAGAAAAAAAGGCTTTGTTATGTATGTGCATTAGGAGCTCAGTGTTTGAAAATTTTATTTGTTGTCTAGACTAATTAAGGTTCTGTCAGGAAACAGCATTTTGGAAAATAATTTTCTAGAATATTCAAACATTCTGCCATGTCTTCTTGCCAGTGGAGAAACTGGATTGGAAATAGAAGAATCTCTATCAAAACTCATGTTCCATCTATATATATAAAAGCCTAAGCGACCTTTATGACGGAACAACCAAACAACCAGTTGCTATGATGCACACTGACCACCAGGGGACAGTCACTTGACACAGGAGCTGCCACCAGCCCGCAGGTCCTGATCTCCGATGGGGCTTGCCCTGCTGGCCAACCTCCGGTCCCTCCCCAGAGCCAGCAGGCCGCCGGGCTGGGATGGTTGGGATTTGGGGAAGGCAATCAATTGAAGTGTCTCTCTCACATTGCTCGCTCTCTCTCTCTCTCTCTCTCTCTCGCTCACTCTCGCTCTCGATCTCCGCATCCCCACTCCCTCCCTATCTTCTACCTCCTTCCTTTCCACTCTCTCTCAAAAAAAAAAATATTTTGGAAAAATTTTCCTCCCATGAGGATTAACAACAACAACAAACAAAAGGAGTAACCAATGATTGCCTAGATGAATGGAACATATATCAATGTTTCTCCATCTCTCTTTCTCTCTCCCTCAACAATAAATAAAAAATATAAAAACAATATTAAAAAAGAATAAGAAAGAGCACAAACAGAAAAATGATAGTATCTGTTCCCAGGTAAGTGGGAATGAGGAAGCAGATGACATAGGTGAGAGGTCCAAAGGTCATGGAGGAAGCCAGACCTTCCAGTTTGGTTGAGAAGCTGTGTTTCAATGGGAAAGATTTTGAGAAGCGCAGGTTTGCCAGTTGCTGTCGTAGGGGGACAGACCGTCTCCAATAGGATCCATGCACGTGCATCCTCTCCAGACTCTGCTTCTGCCCCCAGGACTGCCATCCTCACATTAGCAGTGAGGCCATGTCTGCCCCTTGGACTGTGAGGGCTCCTCTTTCATTGCCTTGGGGTCCTGGGATAATCTATGCATGTTCTTGAGGAATTGTATTGTTAAGGTTTTTCTGTTGAAATTTTGTTTTTGTCTCTTGAAAGGATTGAGATGGAGGAATTTGGTGGAGAAATCCCCGGAACACGGGGACAGGTGTGCTGTTCTCTGCTTTGTAATTTCTAATGCAATGTAGGCTTCAAAGAAGACTGCAAAGTTTAGACTCAGGAATTTTATCACAGCACCATGCACCTCCCCAAAAGGAGAAAATCTAATTTTCTTTCACTTTACATCTTCCTTTTCCTATGTATTCTGCGGTTTCCTTGTGTTACAGTAGTTTGATGTGGCTATTTAACTCACAAAGTTTTTCAATAAGTTACTGCCGTATGTGGCCTTAGAACAAGAGACCTCAAACTCTTTAAACGGGGCCAGGCCAGTTCACTGTCCCTCAGACCTTTAGAGGGCCGGACTATAGTTTAAAAAAAAACTATGAACAAATTCCTATGCACACTGCACATGGGAATGTCTTTCTCTGTCATATTTAAAGGAAATTACTACTGGGTATTTTATTCTGGCCTGGTAATTTCTATTTTTTAGTCATTTGAATACTTGGTTCCATGCTCTTCTGGCTTGTAGAGTTTCTGCTGAGAAGTCAGACGATATTCTGATGGGTTTTCCTTTGTAGATTACTTCCTTCCTTTCCCTTGATGCTTTGAGAATTCTATTTTTTGTCATTAACTTTTGACAGTTTTCATGCACCGGGGAGAGGGTCTCTTTGGATTGAGTTGAGTAAGTGTTCTATTTCCTTTTTGAATTTGAGGACCTAGTTCTTTTTTTTTTAAAAAATATATTTTATTTATTTTCTACAGAGAGGAAGGGAGAGAGATAGAGAGCCAGAAACATCGATGAGAGAGAAATATCGGTCAGCTGCCTCCTGCGCATCCCCCACTGGGGATGTGCCCGCAACCCAGGTACATGCCCTTGACTGGAATCGAACCTGGGACCTTTCAGTCCGCAGGCCGACGCTCTATCCACTGAGCCAAACCGGTTTTGGCAAGGACCTAGTTCTTTACATAGGTTTGCGAAGTTCTCATCCAGTATTTGTTTGAATAGGCTTTTAGTTCCCCTCTTCCTCTCTTCTTCCGCTTAGTATGCCTGTAGTTCTTATATATGAGCCTTTTCTGATGGAGTCCGATAGTTCTCATAGGGCCCTCTTTTCATGCTCAGGTGTCTTCTTTCTTTGCTCTATCTGTTCAGCCCTGTTTCCTAGTCTCAGTAATTCCCCCCTAATCTCCTAAATTGCATTCTTTGTTTTCAAGCATTCTGATTGGTTCTTTTTGAAAGTTTCAGTCTATTTGTTAAAGTACTAATTTTGTTCAGTAATTTGTTTTCTGAGTGCATTGAATTGCTGGTATTTTATCACATCTTACTGAGTATTTTCAGAACTGTAATCTTAAATTCTGTTATTTCTGTCACATATTGGCGATGAGCTGAAGCTTGCTCTCTGGAGATTTTTTATTTTCTTTCTGAGCTTTCTCATAACCATAGTTACTAATGCAATTTGTTAGTCTCCCGTGTCTAGGCATTTATTCTTGACCTTTCTGTAGCAGCTTTCTCCGAAGAGGACATTCTACCATTTTAGCAGGTGGCACTGAATTACAACATTATTAACTCTGTGAACTCCCAGAGCTGACTACAGCCGTGCTGCTTGGGTGGGTGTTTATTTTGCCCTTATTGTAATGGTGATCCCAGACTTCTGTGGGTCCCCCCACGAGCCTCACCTGGTTATCCATCACAGAAGTCAACAGCGATTCTATTGCACTAGCTCTCTGTGTGCAGATACTATGCTCTTTGACCAAGGGTAACTGGAAGCGAGTTTTGGGAATCTAAGGGAAAGTAGTACTCTGTGGCTACATTTCTTTGTCTGAATCACCATTGCCCGACAGCAGACAGCCATTGCAGAACCTCTATGCTGTGTCCTTGCCCAGGCATCTCTGCTGGCTCAGCTGCTATTCTCACTGCTCACCCTGCTGGAGAGCCCACTGAGACTCTCTGTTCTACCCCATGGAAACAACTAATACTACCAGCTTCCCCCACTCTCTGGATGGAGCTGGTCGCCAGCTCCTACTGCAGGGCTGTGTCCATGGCCATCTGGCCTCTCCTCCCTTCTTCCCCTTTTATTCCTGGTTGCCCACCTCTAGATGTTTCACTGCGCTGGTCTCTCAGTCAGGCTTTTATGTTAACCAGGGAATTCTTTGTTAAGTTATAGTTGATTAACTTGTTCAAGTTGTAGGAGGAGAGACCTGGGTGATCTCTCTAGCCTCCATTTTTCTGATGTTGCTCCCCATGTCTTCAACTCTTCATTTTTTATCTGTTATCACGCCTTTTCACTATTCTGTATTTATATCACTCCATTTGGTGTGCAAAGTGGTAGATTTGTTAATGTCCCATATGGGCTTCTCTCTATCAAAATCTTCAATGTACTATGCAAGTTTTTTGATTCTTTAGCTTGGTCATATCTTTCATTGGTAATTCTGTTATATTTTTAAATTGGCGCATTTTTACCTTGCCTTTTATGTTTGGTCCATTTCATAGATATTTGTATATTTGGACCATGTTTTTTAGTTTTTCTCAGTGTCTTAATATCTCTTGTTGGGGTTCAGGAATTTAAACAACCAGGCCTGCCGAAACCGGTTTGGCTTAGTGGATAGAGCTTCGGCCTGTGGACTGAAAGGTCCCAGGTTCAATTCCGGTCAAGGACATGTACCTTGGTTGCGGGCACATCCCCAGTAGGAGATGTGCAGGAGGCAGCTGATCGATGTTTCTCTCTCATCGATGTTTCTAACTCTCTATCTCTCTCCCTTCCTCTCTGTAAAAAAAATCAATAAAATATATTTTAAACAAAAAAAAAAACGAAAACAAAAAAACAACAACCAGGCCTTATAAACTTGCTTTTTGTAAGAGCAAATAAATAACAATAACCTGTGGCAAAAAAATTCTAATTTCTGTCAGAATTGTTTGGGGGCAGAGTGTGTGTAAGTTCCAAGTTTAAATAATTTTCTATTTCTTTCCTAAAACCCAAAATATCTTTTTGTATTGATAACTGTCTTCAGTATTACAGTCTCTGTAGTGTTTGAACAATTACTCACCTATTCTTTTTTTCATTCTTAAATATTTTTAAATTGATTTCAGAGAGGACGGGAGAGGGAGAGAGCGATAGAAACATCAATGATGAGAGAGAATTATTATTATTTATTTTTAATAATTCTTTACTGTTGGAATTATTACATATGTCCACCAGAGAGAGAATTATTGATCGGATGCCTCCTGCACCCTCCACACTGGGAATCAAGCTCACAACGTGGGCATGTGCCCTGACCAGGAATTGAACTGTGATGACTTGGTTCATAAGTTGATGCACAGCCACTGAGCCATGTGGGCCAGGCACCACTTTTTCTTTTTAGTAGCCATTACAATGTATTCACCATGTACCAGTAATGCCATTATTTTAGCACTCTGTATCATGCAAAACAGAAACATGTTCTTCAAGATGCTGCAAAACTGCAAGATCATTGAACAGACACAGTACCTCATCTCTACTCAGGGAAGAATCTGGGAAGTGGAAGTTTTCTTAAAATACTGCCAATGTTTGCTAGGGTGTTTTCAAGTATTGGTGGCAAATGTAAGCAACTTTTTAACCCTCCTTGTTGTGACTTTTCCTAATTGTACCTTTCTTAGTCTTGCTTTGAACATTTAACTTAATTTTGGAGTACTCAAAAATGTCATTGGGTCAGTAATTGATGATAAGTTCAGTGTCCATTCACATGGGTGTCATAACTGTGAAACTTTATTTCATATCTTTCAGCTATCTTATCAGAAGACAACCAGGCATTTTTGCAAAAGCCAAAAATAGGAGATTTATTCCCTAAAATAATACTGGTAAGATATGAAAGGTATGGCTTTGATAATGTACATTTAGTGAAAGCCTTAGAATTTGAGGAGGAGTGTTAGATGAGAAAAAATTATTTTAACATGGACAGAAGTAAATTGGTACAGTTATTCATAATAAAATCATTGTCAATTAATGATGTCAAAAATATTACACATTTGGTAATACTCCCAATTAAAATTAGTTATATTTGTAAACTAATGTGTTTCTAAATATGAAGAACAAATATAATGTTTTTAATATTATACATTCTTGGAATGAAAATACTGAAAATCTATGAAAAATCTATTTTTCATAGATTAATCCTTCAGTGCAGCATAATCTATGCTGTAAATATAAGAATTACTGCAGTGTAGTGTGGGATTAAATTTCTAGTCATTTCTAGAATATAGTGATTTATAATGCACATACAAAATTTAAATGCAATTTGTTGACTTCTGTATTGTCATTATACTTCTATTGAGAAATAATGTTTTTGATACAAATGTCTATAATTTTTATAAACTTAGAAATCTGTTTTTAAATATGTCTTTATTGATTTAAGAGAGAGGAAGGGAGGAGGAGAGAGAGAAATATCAATGATGAGAGAGAATCATTGACTGGCTGGTTGCCTGTTGCCCTGGTGATTAAGGCATGTGCTCCAACCAGGAATCAAACTGTGACCTCCTGGTTCATGGTTTGTTGCTCACCGCCTGAATCACACAAGCCTGGAAGGATTGTGTGTTTTTTGTGTGTTTTTTTGTTTTTTAAAATATATTTTATTGATTTTTTACAGAGAGAAAGGGAGAGGGATAGAGAGTTAGAAACATTGATCAGCTGCCTTCTGCACGGATGTGCCCGCAACCAAGGTACATTCCCTTGACTGGAATTGAACCTGGGACCCTTCAGTCTGCAGGCCCACACTCTATCCACTGAGCCAAACCAGTCAGGGCGATTGTGTGTGTTTTTTATACACAACGTGGTTAATAGTCATCACGGAATAGTTATTTGAAAAAAAGAATACATGTTTAAAGAAATTATAGCTGTCACTAAAGGCCTTTCCATCTTCAATGATTACCAGAATACATGCAATGAAGATAGAAGTTATCAATGCAAGGAGCATTGGAAAAATTTTAACCAAGGGTCAAATTCTAATATACATCAGAATATTCAGCTTCCAGAAAACCATTATAAAGGTGGAAAAGTTTTTAACCAATTGTCAAATCAAAATATACTTCAGTTTACTCGTACCGTGGCAAAAATAAACAAACGAAAATGTGACAAACCTTTGAAACAATCTTCAAATCATACTGAACGAGATAACATTCATACCAGGGAGAAACCTTGCAAATTTAATCCGTGTACGAGACTCTTCAGTCAAATACTCAATCTAAATAAACTTAAGAAAATCCGTACTGGAGAAAAACATTATAAATGTAAAGAATGTGGTAAAACATTTAATTTCCTTTCAAATATTCGTGAACATGAGAGAATTCATACTGGAGAGAAGCCTTATAAATGTGGAGAGTGTGGCAAAGCCTTCAGGAGGTCCTCGAAGTGTCGTCGTCATCAGAGTATTCATACCGGAGAGAAGCCTTATAAATGTAGAGAATGTGGTAAAGCCTTCAGTGAGTCCTCAATCCTTAATCAACATCAGAGAGTTCATACTGGAGAAAAGCCTTATAAATGTAAAGAGTGTGGCAAAGCCTTCAGTGCAGCATCAAGTTTTGCTTATCATCAGAGAGTGCATACTGGAGAGAAGCCATATAAATGTAGAGAATGTGGCAAAGCCTTCAGTATGGCATCAACACTTACTATTCATCAGAGAGTGCATACTGGAGAGAAGCCCTATAAATGTAGAGAATGTGGTAAAGCCTTCAGTACAGCATCAAACTTTGCTTATCATCAGAGAGTGCACACTGGAGAGAAGCCCTATAGATGTGGAGAATGTGGCAAAGCCTTCAGTGCTGCATCAACACTTACTTTTCATCAGAGAGTGCATACTGGAGAGAAGCCTTATAAATGTAGTGAATGTGGCAAAGTCTTCAGTGACTCCTCAAACCTTAATCGACATCAGAAACTTCATACTGGAGAGAAGCCTTATAAATGTAGAGAATGTGGCAAAGCCTTCAGTAGGTCCTCAATCCTTACTGTACATCAGAGAGTTCATACTGGAGAGAAGCCTTATAAATGTAGAGAGTGTGGCAAAGCCTTTACCAGATCCTCATCCCTTACTTATCATCAAAGAGTTCATACTGGAGAGAAGCCTTATAAATGTGCAGAATGTGGCAAAGCCTTTAGGAGATCCTCAATATGTATTCTTCATCAAAGTAGTCACACTGGAGAGAAGCCTTATAAATGTAGTGAATGTGGCAAGGCCTTCTGTAACTCTTCAAACCTTAAACGACATCAGAAACTTCATACTGGAGAGAAGCCTTTTAAATGTAGAGAATGTGGCAAAGCCTTCATTGTGGTTACAGACCTTACTTATCATCAGAGAGTTCATACTGGAGAGAAGCCTTTTAAATGTAGAGAATGTGGCAAAGCTTTCAGCAGGTCCTCAGCCCTTACTGTACATCAGAGAGTTCATACTGGAGAGAAGCCTTATGAATGTAGAGAGTGTGGCAAAGCCTTTAGTAAATCCTCAAACCTTAGTAATCATCAGAGAGTTCATACTGGAGAGAAACTTGATAAATGTAGAGAATGTGGCAAAGCCTTTAACCAGTGTTCCTGCCCCATTGTACAGCAAAGAGTTCATAACTCCTTGCAGTTACAAGGAGTGCCATTATTACTTTACCAGCAGTGAGAACTTACTCAGCACCATAAAATTCATACTGTGATGAAGCCTGATGAATGTGAAAAATGTCGAAAAGCCTTTAAAGATATTCGTGATTTACTGTATATGAGAGACTTTATAGTGGAGAGAAACTTTACAGATGTAAGGAGTGTGGGAAATCTTTTCCTTGTCAGTGCGATCTTATTGAACATCAGATAATTCATTGTGAAGAGAAGCCTTACAAATGTGAATAATTAGGAACATTTTTAAATGACCATTGGTGTCTTTCTCAACACAAAAAAACTCATATTGGAGAGAAGACCTAAAAATATAGTGAGTTTGTCAAAGCCTTTAATCAGGAGTGGGGTCTCACTCAACAAAAATATATTATGGAGTGAAACATTACCAAAGGAGAATGTGGCGGAGCTTTTAACCTGTACTCAAACATACTCGTAATTGGAGGGAATGAGTCTAAATAGAAACAGTAAAAATATAAATAATTTGCCCAAAGATTTAACCAATGTTCTAATTTCATTGAGCATGATCAAATTAAGCCTTATAAATTGTAATACTTGTGCCAAAGTTTATATTCTCATTTATATGTTATTCAACATCTATTATTGCTGGAGTTAAGCCCAGGAAATATAAAGAATGTGGCAAAACAAAGTTTCACTCGGTACATGAACCGTATTTGACATCAGAATTCATACTCAAGAGAAACAGTGAAAATGTAAACAATGTCCAAAAGCCTTTATTCCACATTCATAATTTATTCCTCACATTGAAATTCCTAGCAGAGGGAAACCCTAAAACCAAAGAATGTGGGAAATCTTATAGCTGGACCTGCAGTCTCAGTCAATATCAGGAATTGCAATATGGACTTAATTCTAAGTTCATGATATAGGAGGCAAAGCTTTTGTTAAAAAGATATGCTTCTCAAAAGCCTAAAAAATTTTCCAAAGTATGTATTTGAAATTAAATTTTCAAATATCACAGAATTCACACTAGATGAATAGTTGATACTTTTTAGGTATTACTCTAAATGAGAATACTCATAGAGAATAATCCAATGTTTAAATGAACATGTCATTTTTAATATGTTTGAATATATTAAAAGAAGCAATGTTTCCATAAGTATAATTATTTAGTGTTGTCCATTTTTTATTGACATTACTTGAGACATATTGAAAAGGCAGTATTAATGTGATTCTGCTCCCATATCACTGATGCTACCATGTTTATTCCTGGTGTATGTATGAAATCCTGGGGTTGTTACTGCCTTAAAGACCTGTGAACTCTTGTATAGTGCATGCATTTCGCTGACATATACTTTTCCATGGAATATTGCATTTATTGTAAGGCACACTGCTTGAAGACCATCTAAACGGAGATTGTGGTTGACTTAGAATGTTGTTTTATGTCATCATGAAGGGCATTATACATTTTGACTAAATTTACCAATTACACTTACAGGAAAATATGGTGGCAGTTCATTAAAATCCTGATGTATCTTCATAGTAGCCATAGGTAGAAGTGATGAACATTGGTTGATGTGGTGAAATAAAGAAGATATGAGGCATATCTGAGAACATATAAGACAACTCATCCTTAAGCGCATAAAATTATTGTATGTTCATGTTTTCTAAATGATTAGCCTCCATTCAAAAGACCAGATGAAGCACAGTTATTACATTATTATATCAGAATGTCATGACCTTCCTGGCAAGTTCAGGATGACTTGAAGGAGAGCGGACGACACAATAAATGCACTATAAAAAAATATAAATTTAGAAGGTATTTGGGGTGCCAGGTGGAACCTCTTTCATGAAGAACTCTGAGATTGGGTCCTGCTGACTTTGAATACACATTTCCTGTTTAGCAATGCATACAGGCAAATTAAAAGTAAATTTGGTATACAATGTAAAGATTATCAGGTCAGGAAATTGCCTCGAGCCATTGCAATCACAGCAGGGCAAACTTGTGCTGATATTCAGCCCTGCTAAATATCAAAGTCCATTGGCCTTCCAATTCTCTTTTGCACTTTTATGCTAAGTGCTGTTTGCTTTAGCCTCCAGCTTCAGAATATTAGTAATATATCTTAAATGTTTGTAATGTGCATTTTGACAAATGGTTGCACTTACCGTGTTGTTTTTCATACTTTAATATTTAGAGTATGGGTGAACTGTTTTCTTTAAAAAAAATATATATATATTATATATATTTTTATATATATATATTTATAAATATATAAATACATATATATTAAAAAATATATATATTTTTTAACATATTTTTATTGATTTCAGAGAGGAAGGAAGAGGAAGAGAGAGCTAGAAACATCCACGATGAGAGAGAATCATGGATCGGCTGCCTCTTGCAAGTCTCCCACTGGGGATCGAGTCCACAACCTGGGCATGAGCCCTTGACCGGAATCAAGTCCAGGACCTTTCATTTCACAGACCGACACTCTATCCACTGAGCCAGACCGGCTAGGGCCTAAGTATATTTTTATTGATTTCGGAGAGAGAGGGAGAGGGACTAAGAGATCAAAACATCAATAAGGAGAGAGATTTATTGATTGGCTGCATCCTGCATGCCCCATACTTGGGATTGAGCCCACAACCCGGGCATGTGCCCTGTTGGGGAATGGAACCGCAAGGTAACACCTAACCACTGAGCCATGCTGGCCAGGCTATTTTAATTAATACAGCTGAGTGAGTGTGGATGTGTTCATGTGTTCAGCCTTCAAGGTTGTAGGTAACAGTATTGGAGTTGGTAATGCAGTATAGTTATGTCAGTAGCAAACCCTTTTCCCAGTGGCCTTGAACTTTAAATAATGTGGACAGATTTCTCCATTGTTGACATATTTTTCTTGTTCTTGTATCTAGGGGGACATTATGATAGTCACAATGAATATAAGTGTTTTTGAGAGTTCAGCTAAACTATGTTCTGATGTAGCTGCCATGGCCTTTATGTTCTTTAGCAAGGAGCTTTGAAGTGACATTCCCCTCTTCCACAATTGTGTGCCCTACCTCAGGTCCTCTGTGCCTGTATTAAGCCCCAGAGGAGCTCAGGCAGGGGTTGGCGACAGGTACTGGTCTGGGGAGACCAAAGGGAGGGTCGCTGAGGAGGGCACCCAGGCACCGTCTTGAGCACTAAGTGGCCTTGGTTCTGCAGTTCAGAGCTGCGAGGGGAGGAGAGTCGGAGCCGAGGTTCTGTCCCACTGCTGGACACTACTGCTGGCTTTCTCCACTTCCCTCCGTGTCAGGAAGTCTTCAGTTTTCTAAATAACTGTTTTGTTCATAAGTAATCTTAATTTTGGCAGCTACTTATGATAACCATAATACAATATGGTCCTGACATAAAAAATAAAAGAGCCCTAACCGGTTTGGCTCAGTGGATAGAGTGTCGGCCTGCAGACTGAAGGGTCCCAGGTTCGATTCCGGTCAAGGGCATGTACCTTGGTCTTGGGCACATCCCCAGTAGGGGGTGTGCAGGAGGAAGCTGATCGATGTTTCTCTCTCGATGTTTCTAAGTCTTTATTCCTCTCCTTTCCTCTCTATAAAAAAATCAATAAAATATATTTTTTAAAAATAAAAGTAAAAAAATAAGTGAATTGATTTGTAGGCATTACTCAAAGCGTTTATATGTGATTCATCCCTGACTCGTACAACTTACCATTAGGAAATGATGTGAGTATCCAATTGAAATCTGGCAAAGTCTAAATGCAGGACATAGCCCTGATCTTTTTAATTTTGTTAAATACCATCATTTATTTTTAGACAGTGGACTCCTTTCTTCTGATTGGATTCAGACTGTTACCAGATGGAATCTGGGCCCAGGGTACATCTGCCTTAGCACCCCTCCCTTTAGAGTGTGGGTTCTTGACTGTGTAGCAAAGATTTCACACCAGTCCATGTGGCTTTTGAGAGTATGTTTATTAAAGCTGTGAAACAAAGAGCTTAAGGTAGGAGAAGCAAGAGGAGAGAGTCTAGAACAGGGGTGGGCAAACTTTTTGAATCGAGGGCCACAATGGGTTCTTAAACTGGACCGGAGGGCCGGAACAAAAGCATGGATGGAGTGTTTGTGTGAACTAATATAAATTCAAAGTAAACATCATTACATCAAAGGGCACGGTCTTTTTTTTTTTTTTTTTAGTTTTATTCATTTCAAACGGGCCGGGCTGTAGTTTGCCCATGGCTGGTCTAGAAAATGGGGGCCTTAGAGCCCATTTCAGGGGATTAGTGTTATAATGTAAATCAGCAAGCTAGACAGAGGATGCCTTAATCAGTGAGCCAAATTTTGGAGCCTTTATTATGCTAGTGGTCTCAGAGGAGTAACCTCCCAAATCTAAGCAAAAACATGGAGGAAGCCCTCCCCTTTTATATCTTCCCAGCCCTTTGTCTCCCAAATAAGGGATTTTCCGGACCTTTTGCAGACTTTACAAAGAACTCTATGTAAGTTATTTTTGCAGGAAGCTTGTAACCTCGAGCACAGTACATTCCAGACAACTAACAAATACCTGGTATGGGAGTAGCTAGAAGTGGCAGCAGAGCAGCTTGCAAGGTCAGATAGTTGAACTTATTTTCCCTATTATTTAAGCAAGCAAAAGTTTACAGAAGCCAAAATAGCAGGGTTAAAATTTCAAACAGCAGAGTTTTTACAGAATAGGGATTACGGTAGCAAGTTGGAGTGCCTATGCATCGATAACGTGGGTCAAGCTGTGTTGCCGGCTATTTAACCTTGTTGCAAAAGTCGTGTCCCTTAGCGTTTAGGAGAAAATAGCAAGACATAAAGCAGCACAGATTCTTGGAGACCAGGAAGCGGCTAGCGAGGAGTAGCAGTCACAGCAGTCAGGTGGGTCTCCTGCTTGTTTTAAAGCAGTTCATTTGCACGAGAGAAGGCTGAGGGTCACTGCCAGTGTTGAAATACTCGCTCCTGTGCCTCCGACTGTGGTGATTCCACATCCATGGGGATGCCCCATACCCAGCCTGCTTCCCGCCCAGATGGAGGGTCTGTCCTCTGCTTTTGTCCCTTCACACACTGCCTGCTGCATGGGTTTTCTGCTGCAAGCCCGTCAGGGGCAGCTTTCCCACCCCACGAGATTTAAAGTCTCAGTAGATGACTAGAGTGGAGTCCAACCCTTTGCTGCCTTTCCCCACATCTTTGTTCCAGGCTCTTTGGAGTCCCTAACGCTCCCCAACATGGGGATCTGCAGACCCTTCTGCCACCCACCCATTTAATAAGGGCCTAGAAGGGATCATTTCAGATTTGCCTCTGGTGTGTCATCAGTTTGTTTCAAATAAATTGTTTAAATTCCCCCCATCTCCACCCTGTTTCCCCAAAAATAATGACCCGCAGGGAGGGGCAGAGCAGTGACTGCGAGGGGGCGGGAACCAGGTAGGGAGGGGTCAGGAGGGAGACAGACACGTGGGAGGGAGAAAGGGTCAGTGAGGGGGCCCCATAGGGGATGAGGCAGGGACTGGAAAAGGACAATATGAGTGAGAGGGTAACTGGGGAAAGTATATAGGGGAGGAACAAAGCGGAAAAAGGAGAAGAGGGTGGAGACCCAGAGAGATGAAGGGGAGCTAATAGGAAGAGGGGCCCAAATGAGCAGAAGTGGGGGCAACAAAGGAAAGGAGAGGATGGTTCTGAGAAAAGCTGGGGGGATGGAATGCAGGGACTCAGGGATGAAAAGGGGGGTTTAGGGATGATGAAGCAGAGAGAAACAGCATTGAGAGCCAGCCAGCTGTGTGTAACAGGAAAGACTAACAGCGGAAGCAGAGGAGACACGTGTGTGGAGATGGAAACAATCAGAAAGACCAGGAAGAAAGGAACTGAAGGTGAAATAGGCTTCAGGAGTTTCATAATCCAGGTGTAGGGACAGACAGAGAGAAAAGGGGAGAAGGAGCAGGGGAGAGGGAGGTGAAACATAGGAAAGGACAACAGTGGAGAGAAAGGAAACAGAAACAGATCATAGACAGAAATACATAGCAGTGGGAAGGTCGGGAACCCTGATCTGGATGAGAGGTGAGCTGATGGGATGTGGATGGTTAAGTTGTGATATGTTGGCTTGTGGCTTTATGTTTAAATCAACATTAGCTGAATTGTTTAATCAGAGTCGAATGAGAGTGACAAATCTCCAGTTTATAAGGCTTACGAATTTTTTACTTGCTTCCAATTGCAACCCTCATTTATTCAGCGGGGAGAGACTTGTATGTTGGTCATGGGTCCCTTTTCATTTCCTCGGATGGCAAGAAGGAGGTGGCCTGGGACAAGATATGACTGAGTCTGTTTCAAGCTCATAAAATATTTTTAAAAGAATTGCTCAGAAATAGAAAACAAAAAAAGAAGTAAAAATAATACCATTTTTAAATAAAAAGTAAACTTAGTAATTGTTCTCAGAAGGAACATATAATGAAATTGAAATTGCATTTAGATATGATTGACCTAACTACATTATATTACAATTTGAAAAAGGTTTTTGTTCTTGTTGTTTTTATGTTTTGTTTTGTTTTATTGATTTCAGAGAAGAAGGGAGAGGGAGAGGTAGAAACATCAATGATGATGTTTCCTCCTGCACTCCCCACACTGGGGATTGAGCCCACAACCCAGGTATGTGACCTTGACTGGATTTGAACAGTCACTTCCTGGTTCGTAGATTGATGCTCTATCATTGAGCCACACTGCCGGACTGTTTGCTTTTTTTTTCAAAAAAATTTTTTTTATATATTCTGATTTTCTACAGAGAGTAAGGGAGAGGGATAGAGAGTTAGAAACATCAATAAGAGAGAAATATCAATTCAGCTGCCTCCTGCACACTCCCCACTGGGGATGTGCCCGCAACCAAGATACATGCCCTTGACCGGAACTGAACCTGGGACCCTTCAGTCCGCAGGCCGACGCTCTATCTATCCACTGAGCGAAACCGGTTAGGGCGACTGTTTGCTTATTTAAGAGTTTATTTGTGGGGAAATGACAACATATGCTTGGGAGCAAGATCTCAAATATCCCCTGATTTGAACAAGTTTCATCTCAAAGGTATTTGAAGGTAATTTATTCCAAGTGTGGTTTAGAACAACAATTATCCTAAAAATTCAATTTATAACAAGTTTTTAGAGGTGTTTTTTTTAAAGCAATGTTTATTGACCTCATCACCTGCCTTAGATCTCCACGTCTCATACCACATGTTGAGTCCCTATAAAAGGCTCTGGAATTCAGCCTTGTTGAGTCTTGGCTGCCCTGAAAGAATAGCTTTTTACATAAATCTTTTCAACTGTTAAGAGGAAATCAAATCGTTCCTAACAGAAGTGGTTCACATCACTCTAAATGTTCACCTTAAAACTGATAGGCGCTGTGCCTTAAAATGGGCAGGAAGCAAAGCTGTTCTCAGATGTGAAAGACACTGGAGCATTTCTTTATTTTTAATTTTTTTTCAATTACTGTATACATTTAATATTATTTTGTATTGGTTTCAGGTGTAAAGCATAATGATTAGACAATGATTCTTACAAACTGTTCCCACCAATGGGTAATTCTAGCACCCACCATCTGTACTGATTATGTTTCATACAGTATACCCTAGGCTGTGCTTTAACCCCTATGACCTCTTTCACTGCATTCCTCAACCCTTCCCACTCCCAACTTTCATATTTCTGTTTCTGAATCTGTTTCCGTTTTGTCTATTTTGTTCTTTAGATTCTAGATAGAAGTGAAAACATGGTATTTATCTTGCTTTGACTGACTTCACTAGCATAATAAAGGAGCATTTCTAAATCTGGACAATAAGTTTTTAAAATATATTTTTTATTGGAGAGGGAGAGAGAGAGAAACATCAGTGATGAGAGAGAATCATCATTTGGCTGCAACCCCCACTGGGGATCCAGCCTGCAACCTGGGAAAGTGCCCTGACCAGGAATCATCAAACTGTGACCTCCTGGTTCATAGGTCTACGCTCAACCACTCAATCACTGAACCATGTAGGCTGGGCTGGAAAATAATTTTTTTTTTTATCGCTCAAAGGGATCTATTTGAGAAAATAGGCATGTTACACTTTGAGAGATGAAATGTTACAGCTTACACACTAAAATTAAAAACTGAAATTAAAAAATGAAATAGTTACCAAGGTAATGCAGGTCACGGGATCAAAGGTGAAAGGTCACACATTATTAAAAAGAAATCCGAAAGGACGGTTGCATCATCATCTCATTAGTGTTCCAACGGTGCTCTGGTAAACTTGAACATTTCGGCAGACATTCAAGCATCTTTTTCGGTAAAAGGACTTTTACATGACTCCTATTTCTGTTTCCAGGGTCACCTTCCAAAAGTGGCACGGTGTTGAGAACATAGTAGGTGCTGGTCCCGCAGAATACACTTCCGGAAACACTCTTACCGCTTGTTTTCAGCAGCCAGTTTCCCTCTGCGCGCCACATCCTCCTCCTCCTCCTCGCGACCAGGACTCGGAAAGCGCACCTGGTACCGCCGGGGCCGCGGGCCCAGGGAAAAGGGTTTTTGCGAGCAAATCCCAGAGAAGCTCAGAGATTGCCCCCGTTCCTTCCACAGCCAGGTTCCTTCAAGGTTCCTTTTCGTCCCTGCGCATGCCCGATCCCCCCTTAGGCCACGCCCCCGTAGCTAAACTGCGTTCGGGGCCACTCAGATACGGGCTTTTCCTCAGACCAGTGGCAGCGGGCCAGCTCCAGGCCCCGCCCCCTGGGCCGTGCGCTCCGCCCCCAGGAACGCCCCCCCGGCGGCCCAGCGCCATTTTGTATGAAGTCGGAAGGTGGGAGGTGAGGGCAGCAGGGGCGGGGCGGCCACGCTGCGGGGCGGGACCTCCCGTCGTAGTTTGACCCGCGCGTCACCGTCCCGTCCTCGTCGAACCGGCTTTGCTGCTCCTCGTGGACCTTCCAGTCCCGTCAGCCGGCGCTCCGGACACCGGGCTCCTCCCGGTGTGTCAAATGGCTGCCACGCTGCTCCCTGCCCTTGCCCTTTTGCCTTTTGGTCCACTAGTGGCGACTTTTGAGTCGTTTCTGGTTTTTTTTGTTTTGTTTTTTCCCTTTCATGAACTCTCGGCCTGTCCAGCGCCATTAAAGTTCTTCCGGGAACTGGACTTGTGCCACCGCCTCGCTTACTAGGCCCCTGGCGGCAGTGTCCCCACCCGGCACCGGGGGTCCATATCCTCTCCCTGGTCCTGGGATCCTGGCGACCCCACCCCGGTCCCGAGACGCCTCCCGAGGCCGCTGTCCTCGCGCCCGAAGGCCCCTCAGGCCTTATTTTTGTCGTCGCTGCTGGGTCAGGGCCGGCCTGTGACCTGAAGGTGAGTGTGGGTTCAGTCCCAACACTGCGGCTGCGTGTGAGTGTGTGTGTGTGTGTGTGTATGGATAAGTAATTTTTCTGTCAAAGAACAGGGTTTAGGCAGCCGCCATTTTGGCCTCCTGTTGTGGCAGGCGCCATCTTGGCCCGTGTGACTTGCAGCTCCCCTGGGGGCTGCCATTTTTGAAATGGCAAAGGTCAACCCCTTTAGATTAGCCAATTGAGTAAGATTGGGAGCCTCAGCTCCAATCACGTGTGAGAAACAGATCACATGTGACAGGCATAAAAGGCCGAGGGGCCGCCCGCTCAGCGTGCGTGTGTCCCGGCCCCTGTGCGTGCGCTCCCTCCCGCGGGAGTGAAGATACTGGCCTTGCTGCCTGGCGCCCGGCTGTGCTTTCTGTTCTCCCAGGACCCCTGATTTTGGGGTCTCGCCTTATGTGTGAGAGAGGGAGCGCGATAGAGAGAAGGTGTCACCAGCAGGGCAGTATCATCTGTAGGAACGGGGCGGTAGACTCACTCGTTTGCCTCTGATGGCGCTTTTCTGTCCCAGGGTCCCTCCTGCGGCGTGGGCAGCAGACAGGCCTTTTCTAAGCGCTAAGTGGTGAGGTGTGTGTATGTGGTTTGGCACAGTATGTTGATAAACAGTATATTTTCACCTTTCCATATTCACTGCTAAACACTTTTAAAAAAAATATTTTTATTGATTTCAGAGAGGGAGAGAGAGAGAAATCAATGTTGAGAGGGAATCATGGACCGTCCGCCTCCTGCACACCCCACACTGGGGATCGAGCCCGCAACCCGGGCCTGTGCCCCGACCGGGACTCCAGCTGTGACCTCCTGGTTCATAGGTCAGTGCTCAATCACTGGGCCTGGCTGTCGGTCTCTTTTTTTTCCTTCCTGTCTGTTGTTGATCCCCACTGTAAGATATTTTTTTCGTTTAATTTTTAGAGAGTGGAAGGGAGGGAGGAAGAGGGACACACACACACACACACACACAGAAACCACTGAGCCAAACCAGCGAGGCCCAAATTAATGATTCATTAGGTCAGTGGTTCTCAACCTTGGCTGCACATTAGAATCAACTGGGAATCTCTTTGAAAACCTGATTTCTGGGCCTCATCCTCCAGAAATTCTGTTTTTTTGTTATGGGGTGGGGCCACAACATTAGTAACAAAGAAACCGAATTTCTGGAGGATGAGGCTCAGAAATCAGGATTTCAAAGAGATTCCCAGATGATTCTAATGTGCAGCCAAGGTTGAGAACCACTTTAGGTGAAAATTAACCCAAATGTCTTCCTGAGACTATGTATTTTACAGGCTTTGTTATCTGCACCTGATAGAATATTCAAAAAATAGAAAACAAAAATAGAGCTATTTAAAAGATACTATTTTAAAATAAAAATACACTAATTGCTCTCAGACGAAGGATATATTTCAATAGAAAGTACATTGTATTTAGATTTTTTTAAAAATATATTTTATTGATTTTTTACAGAGAGGAAGGGAGAGAGATAGTTAGAAACATCGATCAGCCGCCTCCTGCACATCTCCTACTGGGGATGTGCACGCAACCCAGGTACATGCCCTTGACCGGAATTGAACCTGGGACCTTTCAGTCCGCAGGCCGACGCTCTATCCACTGAGCCAAACCGGTTTCGGCTATATTTAGATTTTTTTAAGTTGATTTTTAGAGAGAGAGGAAGGGAGACAGAGAGAGAGAAACAGATATGTGACTGGCTGCCTCCTGCACATCCCCTATCAGAGATCCAGCCCTCAACCTGGGCACATGCCCTCATGGGAATGGAACCAGCCGCCTTTTGGTGCATGGGAGGATGCCCAACTGAGCTACCCTAGCCAGGGTATACTTAGATATTATTGACCTAAGCCTACGATGATGTGAACAAGTTTATCTCAAAGATATTTGAAAGTAAGTGATTTCAAGTGTGGGCTAGAACAATTATTTTTAAAATGCATTTTATAACAATTTTTGAAGTATTTTTTCCCCTTAAAGCAATGCTTAGTGACGTGATTATCACATGCCTTAATCCTCAGCATCTCACATTCCAGGTCCTATTCCTATTCAAGCCTCCAGAACTCAGCCTTGTTGAGTGTTGGCCTCTCTGCTGATTGGGGTGTAGGAAAGAAAATGCTGCTTGGCGGGGTGTCGGTGAGAAAAACAGGAGCATATTGCCAACCACGGAAAGGGAACCTTGGGCGTGAAGCCAGGTATTCTCGCCCCAGTTCCGCCCCCCCGCCCCCCCCCCCCCGCTTTTTTTAACCGTCACAGCGCATGCGCACCCTCTAATCAGGTCCCGCCCCTGGAATTCTCCACTCTTCCCGGCAGTATCCTAGCACCGGGAAACAAGAGCCAGGAGGGGAGGTGGCGTTGTATGTAGAGCGTGAGTTTCTGTTTTTCTAGTTTAAACCTCCGTTTCACCTCTTCCTTGCCCTGCCGGGTCTGGGGTTTGACCTGAACCTTAAAGTCCCCGCAGTCGGCGCCCCCCATCTATATTCTGGCCTCGCCGGGGGACCCCGCGCTTCCCTTGCGGTTTGAAATGGCCCAGGGCGCTCCCTTCTTGGTTTCTCTGCTTTCGGTCCACAGAGACCGCTTTTCATGTCGTTTTTTTCCTTAAAACCCAAACTGAACTCTAACTGGTTTGGCTCAGTGGATAGAGCATCAGCCCGAGGACTGCAGGGTCCCGGGTTCGATTTTGGTCAAGGGCTGGATTCCCGGACCTTGTTGGGGTGTGTGCGTGAGGCACCCAATCACTGTGTCTCTCTCATTTCTGTCTCTCCCCCTCCCTTCCACTCTCTCTTTAAAATAAATGGAAAAATATCCTCGGCCCCCCTCCCCCCAAAAAAGATGGATTTATAGCCAGAGGGTGGGGCAAAAAAGCTATTGACAAAAAACAAGATTTTGGGGGTTGTGACATCTTTTCTTTGGGGGATGGACAGGGCCCATGATTGAACCTGCAACTCAGGTACGTGCCCTTGACTGGGAATCAAATCTGAGACCCTTTGGTGCACAGGTCAATGCTCTAACCATGGAGCACACCATCCAGGGCAGAAGAGCCTTTAACATTGCAAGATAAAGACCCACAGAATCATGTCAACTCTGTGCCCACCTGTAAGCCCTTAACTGAAGTAGAGGCTGCTTATTCCAGGAGCTTTGCATTGAAGGGTCATGGCTTCACATGGCCTTGTCCATGCTCTACCTGAAGCCATAGAGTCAGTCTGGGTCTCTCCTACTTGGATCACTATGGGGACATTGGGTAGGGCTCCTAGGGGCTGTCTCCCCGGCACCAGCTAGTTTGGGATTTGGGCATGCCCTGGGCACACTGGTCAGACCGACAGCAGAGCTGAGTCTGCCTCCATGTCAGAGGGAGAAGGGCAAGTCATCCAGGATCCAAACATTCAAAGGACTGTAGATTTTGGTATCTTAACTGTTATCTTTTTCTTTAAATTCTTTGATTCAAGAACCTTCACCCGGCATCTGGTTTTGCATTGCTGCAGATCCAGTAATTGCTCACATTACAGAAAAGTAATTATATGTATACATTATGAAATGATTACAACAATCTTGCTAATGAACATACCATTAACTCCCATGGTTACCATGTGTGTGGTGAGGACATTGAAGATGTACTCTCTCAGCCGGTAGCAAGTATAATATCCACGAGAATTAGCTAGAGTCCCCATGCTGTAGTTTAGAGCGCTAGAATTTATTGCTCCTGCGTAACTGAATCTTGTATTTCTTTTTTTTAAAATATATTTTATTGATTTTTTACAGAGAGGAAGGGAGAAGGATAGAGAGTTAGAAACATCTATGAGAGAGAAACATCCATCAGCTGCCTCCTGCACACCCCCTACTGGGGATGTGCCCGCAACCCAGGTACATGCCCTTGACTGGAATCGAACCTGGGACCCTTCAGTCCCCAGGCCGATGCTCCATCCCCTGAGCCAAACCGGCCAGGGCGAATCTTGTATTTCTTGACCAACATCTCCCATTTCTCCCACAGCCAGCTTCTGGCAATCACAACTGTACTCTGCATTTATGAGTGCGACTTAATAGGTCCACGTTTAAGTGAGATAATACGGTATTTGGCTTTCTGTTTTGGGTTTTCT